GCCATCGCAAGGCGTGCAAAGACCGCCATTTTCGATCTGCAACTCCTTTTCAGGGGAGCTCGTGACTAAGTCGCTCTGCCTGTAAGCGAAATGCTACAGTAATTCGCACATGTTCGCACCTGATGAACAAGCAATCGATCTGCAACTGGCAGTAAACCGGTGACAGAGTGATGTTGAGCCTACTTTTAAGAAGCCAAATGCTGTGAGTCACCCCAAATCCTTTGAATCTGCCTACTTACTTCTCCAGCTCCGATCTGCAGGATGGAGGCTCGTTACAAACTCCAATCTCTCCAGCTCCGAACTTTTTGCCGATGCTTCTTTCGCGGACTGCTTCACTTGACTCGCTCTATCCGAGGAAGTCGTGCTTTGGCAATCCGAGGTCATGGCGGAAGAGGTCCGATTCAAAACCACGGCGTTCGGATCGAATTTTTGGGCAGTGCTGGCGACCACAAGCGCCTGCAGTGACTGAGCGAGTTTTAGCGCCATCGCACGCAGTGTTGTGGGCGAATTCGGGTACAAGCACAGGATGTCGCGAGCACAGGACATGTCGACATGGGAGTGGGTAAAAGCCCAACACCCAACATGCACCAGCCAGAGACCAAGGTTTTCATCCATACGTCATAATTTTGAGAGCCCTATCATGATGTCACTTTGAAGGGCTGGGGCGCACAGGTCATCTTTGACATCTTGGGTCGAATCGCTTCACGACATCCCGATAAAACAGAAAGCGAGCAAAGGACGTTTTGGGGTGCGGCCAGGCCTGTAACGCTGGGCTCAAAGCGATGGAACATGAACATCGATTTGTTACTTCTCCCATCTTTGCCACATGATTTCCACGAAAACACGAACCCACATGGTTAAGGTCTTCTTTTTGAACACAAGAGGTTGACCAGGATAGCGAAAACCGGCCATCATCTGTGCCTCTCCCCAAACTGTAAGTGGCCCACGCTGTGTCATGGTTTCCTGCAAAACTTCGCGAGATCTCACCGTGGCGTTTCTTCGGCTTCCTCGCGTTGTCGGTTCAGCTCGCTCGAACCGTCGAAGCTTCACCCGCGATTGTGCCGTCGAAGCCTGTTCGTTCGCGAACCCTCTGCTTGAAAGCTGCAGAGGGACACAGCCAGGAACCAAGCAAGCAAAGGCCAAGGAACGCCGATATAAGACTAAGATTGTGGCCTGGAAGGCACCATGAGCAAAGATAGAATGTGAATGATTGAAGTCAATACCTCTTGTGATGGTCTCTTGCAAGAGACATTGCTCTTCAAATCAATTGGCGCCTTGGTGAATGCAACTGTGGCTAATTCACAGCCATCAGGCTTGCAAGAAGCAAAGCCCAAAATGGGCTTTGCATTGCGAAGGAAGACGAGGAGACGATTTGCATTTGTGGGGCTTCATCGTCCCATTCGGCAGGCGGCTTGCACTCACCTGGCAGCGGGCGAGTGGGCGAGACATGACACCAGCACACCAGGTGGTTCCAGGCGAGACATGCAGCAAAACGCCCGACTTCCAAGGCCATTTAAAACATGGTTGACCTAATTTTTGTAGTGTAAACTCCTTAGTAGATTCGGTAAAGCCTATTAAATTAATATTGGTTGGAAGCCTAGGGTACGCGTGAAAGCGGGGCTAAACCACATGTCGTTGCCGAAAGCGGTGCTTGCGGTGCTTGCTTTCGGCCTTTCTCCGAGAGAGTGCTGACGCAAATCAAGGTGCTGCTGCTGGAGGCACCATGGTAGCCTTGGACGCAAAGGGAGGCGGACCCTCCCAGCGGGTCGTTTTGTTGATTTAGATCGTTTTTTTGCCTTTCTTCGTTCGTTTTTGGTGGCGGTGCTGCTTTGAAATCATCCCGCAAGGCTTGATGGGTGCTGTTCTAGCAGTTGGCATGAGCAAATGGTTTTCGCCAAAAAGCAACCAATCAAAGAAACAGGGACTGGACTGGAGGATATCTCCGGTGATCTAGATAGTGTTTCTTCTCCATTTTGTGCTCTCGAGCAAGGAGGCAACGCTCTCTGTATTTGCGCCCAGCTTTCTGCCATCTGTCTGTCTCACAAATCTTTAGACACCTGGACACAGGCATTTGGGTCGTGGTTCACATCCAACTGACTATGCATATACGTATATATATATATGTATACAACACGCCCTCAAAGGGATAGAGACCGAAGCGTCTTTGAAGATACGTGTTTTAGAACACTTGAAACATTCTCTTCGGGGAACATCACTATATCCAATGACGTGCTTGCGTGCCAACGAAATGTCAGCTCCTTTCGGGCCAAATCAATGTGGGGGTGATATTGAGACCTGTACTTTGAGTGCACCACCAAAAACTTCTCCAAGTGGAGCTTAAAGAATGATGTATTGACTTGAGTATTAGTTATGACTTAAGTGTCTTCTAACAGAAGTAAGATTCTTGTTGAAGTCTGGGTTAGTTGTATAGACGCCACCCACAGCCTTTCAGCCTCCATCCGCTCTCTCCTGACCCTCTTCCCAGCCAAGCTGTGGTCGGTCCCGATTCTGCCTGGGCACCCACTTGGATGGGGGGACTGGTGCCGCTTCCAACCACCAAGAGGATGTAGTAGGCCTTGTCCTGCGGAGGTTTCTCGTTTTTCGATGCGAAGACAACCACCGTTGACGGTGCTCGCCCTTCGAATCGACGCCGGTGGCGTCGTCGCACCGGTCGGACACCGTGCCGTGCGGTGCGACACTCGTGTGGTCGGACAGCGGTGCAACACCCTCCATGGGGCGGTGGCACCGAAGAAAACCGGTTCTTGATGAACTGAAGGATGGCAAGCAAAATGGTCTCAAAAACATGTCCAAGAGCCATAGCTACCGGTTTCAACGCAAATGGCACGTTAGGATGGCACGTTAGGAGAGGTGAATTCAAAGAACTGTAAATCAATGAAATCGATCGATCATGATCGATCTATACTATGAACTTACTTACTGTATCTTACTGTCTCTCACCCTGACTCTCTGATACTCTCTGCAACTCCAGCAGATACTTCTGCAACAAGCCTGGCCTAGCTTGATGGCTTGGCCGCAAGACCACCACACCACGTCCGGTTCCCACGGCTTGGGCGGCGATGTGACGTCCACGCAGACCTGTCACCTCCGTCGCCGTCGCGATTCGCGCGGTCCATCTGGAGCACATAATCCGTGGAATCGCCGGTGTTGAAGCTGCGCTTCGCTGAGGCCTTTTTCGACAGCGAGGACTCCCGCAAAAAAACCCAGCAAAGAGGGATGGGACGAGGTGGGGGTTGACTTGGATACACCGGGGATTCACGAACTCTCGCCATCGGCAGGGTATGGCAGGGTCGATGTTCGTTCGTTCGTCGTTGCCTGGGAGGTCTCCGGACATCTACACTCCCTGAAACGGAAGTGGACAGTGGTCCCGAAAAAAGAAACTACCTGGACCTTCTTTCGGGGTGTCCTGGCTGGAGATCCCTGGCGGTGGTGTAGGGGCGAAACCAGCCAGGTGACCCCGACATGAAGGTGCTGGTATGTTCCTCTACCAGTCGAGGGGGTTGTCCACGTAACCATGAGTGCAGGGAGGGTCATACACATGGCATGTGAAGAAACGAACGACGCAGTCCTTGGCATCGAACGACGCGTCGGGGGGACCGGAACGAAGAAGCACCGAGTGCGGCTCACGGCCTTCATGCGCCCGTTCTCGAAGGTCAGGGAATAGTCCTTGAGGTCCTGCAGCACTTGGAACACATCGTCTCCAGCTGGTTCTGTGTTGGTCTCCGGCTCTGTGTCTGACCAAAAGCATGAGACTCAAAGCACATCTATACCCAGCCAACTGTCATTTCCAGCCGCATGAAAAACAGCCAAGGATTCAATAGTGAATTGACACAAACAGCATCCCATCAACCAAAATACAGTCCCTTGGGTTCACGAACCCAACGCCAACCCTACGGCCACAGCGATCTCCTGCTTCTGGTCGATGCTGATCTTCGGTACGCTCTGGCCGGTGGAGGAGGAGTACAAGTTGCACTGGGACAAACTCACTGGAACATTGCTGCTGGTATTCTTCCTCAGATGCGAAGCTAACGGCAAACATCTTCTGAACAGGTGGAAAACAATCTCGTGGGCCAGATTAGCCTATGTTGCAAAAGCATGCAAAAGCCACAGCTGCTTGACTTGGCCACATCCAAACAAACATAGAACCTATTCAAAGTAAGCGCTGGGATTCCAAGACCATTTACAGACTGGTCTTTAGGGTGCCCGAAGTTGGGAATGTCCTTTACGTGCCGGTCGTGGGACCTCGAACTTGACTTCTGGATGCATAAGGATACGGATCGACCAGCCCTTCCGGGTTCCATGCCCGTTGATGGATTTGGAGGGCACGGAACCAAAACGCCGTTCGACTTCCAGGGGGCTTCGGAGCGCGGGCTCCTGTCACCAGGTCGGCCCTTTGGAGAAATCTGAGAACAAATCGAATCAAAAAGGGGAGATGGAAGGCTACTAGTAACAAGTGCATCGCTACTAGTAACAAGTGCCTTACTAGTAGCAACAAGACGTAAGGCTATGAAAGTGCAAGACTTGACGAGAAAAGGATTGGCTAAACACAAAGAAGCTTCGTAAGGTGCATGGCACAAAACATTTGACCGGTGCAAGCATAGCTGGCCCCGCAACCACATGCGCCGCATCCGCATGCGGCAGTTGTGGTGCCACATCCACATCCACATCCGCATCCGCATGCGGCAGCTGTAGTGCCACATCC